GGAGGAGAAATATAAATTATTTAATAAATTTAGAACTTTATGTTCGAAAAACGCTATGGTAAATGGTAGGATTCATGGTAAAATGGGTTAATTATGCTAATTAGAGAGTAGATAATTCTCTAATTATTAACAGATGAAAACATCAAATTTTACATGTTAAACAGAGGCGTAAACAGTAAAATTATGGTGATATTAATGTGGTAAATTTATGGAAAATTAGTTGAGAAAATAGAATAAATTAAGGGAGAAAAAACGAATATGTAATTTTAAGCCTTATATTTTGTGTAAAAAGACTTATAATCATGTAAAATCACAGCTAAAATGGATAAAATAATGAAGAAATTTAACACAAGTACACACAAAAAAAAATTGCAGAAAAATATACATGAAATTGTGTTTAAATGAAAATAATACGGATATAAAATAAATTTATAGGCATAAAATTTAAGAAATTTCCCTAACAGTATAGCACTAGAGAGATAAAGTAATATATTATAATTAGAGGAATATAAAGAGTGAGAGATGAGAAAGTAAGAGCAGTCGAATGGAGAAATAATGATAAAGAAACAGTGAAAGTTAAATGATAGTAAAAGAGATGAAAGGATAAATAAGCTTAAAGGTGCATGGAAAATTGGAAATAATGATAAAATATGCAATGGAAGAGAATATAGCAAAGCATCATCTGATGAAAGGAAATATATGGAGTGGAAGAGGATACAATTCTAAGGATGCAGTGATAAAGAATATTTTATTTATAGAATTGAAGCTAACGGCAGATTTGGAGCCTGGAGGCATACACTGTGAAAGAAGCTCTTTTACTTCTTTGTCGAATGTGAAAGAATGATACCATTAAGAGCCATTCACTATTGTACATTAAGGTCCTTTCTTTAGCTTGTAAATACTTGTAAAACCTTTGCTACACTCCCGTATCTACGCTACTAAAGAAGCTATAGAGTATCTATTATGATTTTTCTAATTAAAATTACATAAAATTATCCAGTTAATTCTCTAAAACGGTGATAGAGTCAATGCGGAGTCACGTAAAGTCGTAAAACGAGCGATCTTTTTTTACGTCTGTTACGCGATTTACTGCTAAGAGCGTGGAGAAAGGATGACGTCTTTTGTTAGAAAAACTTAAAAATTTTCCAGGAAACTCGATATAAGGCATCGTTATTCTGATATAAAACGTGTAAACCTCGATACAGAAAAATGTCATTTGGTGTGACGAGTGTGACAATTCGCCTGTCACACAAGACCTAATCCCAACGTCATTCTGACACGTGATTAGCTTCACAACCTTCGAACCAATTAATTGGCCAGCTGGAGGGCCAAAAAAAAAGAGGAGGACGAGTGAAAGTAAATGTGATGAAACCCAAGAACCATGTGCTTGGACGTTAATTGGGGAAATACTTCGCTGTTTCTCGCTGTTTTTTGTCTCTTTTTCCTCTCTAATTTTTGTGTTTTTCCTCAGTTTCTTGTGTTTCTCCCTCTGTTTTTTTGTTTCTTCCCTCTATTTTTTTTAGTATTTTTCCCTGTATTTGTTCGTTTTCCCCACATTTTATGCTTTTTTTCCCCTATAATCGTATATTTTCCCTGTGTTTGTGTTTTTCCTATATTTTTATATATATATTTTTTCTTCTGTTTTTGTGTTTTATCCTTTAATTTTTTGTTTTTCCTCTACTTTTTTGGTGTGTATTTTGGTTTACTTTTCCGTATTGCATCCCCAAAGCATCGCCGAATCGATACGAAGAAAAATATGTTAACTACAAGCAGTTAATTGGGTTAAAACGTAACGATTTAACAATAGGAAATTAAATTAATTATTCAGCAATACAATTAAATATAAGAGGGGGGCAGAGGAGCGCAATACAAATTCGGCTAATATGGCTCATAAGTCTATTTAACCGAATCAAATTAACTAATTAATATAATTAATAACTGATTAAATATACGTGCAACGGTTTTAATTACGAACCTCCCTTACGTCAGGGAGCGATTCTAAGCTCGCAGTATTCATAAAAATCACTCAAACTACTCCCCTCTTTCCATCCCCTTTAAAATATTCTCACGACAGTTAATAAACTTGGAACAAAACATTCTTCATCAGGAGCTAAGCGTGTCATTTAATTTTATATGCAAAGAAGAGGAGCTCTGGAGAGGGTGAGGATCCCCCCTTCTGAATAATTCATTTTAATTTTGAGATTTTTCTTATCAACTTCCCCCTATATAACGCATTCGCTTTCATTATTTTCTTATCCTTTCTGTACTCGTACGAAAGGATACGCCCTGGGAAAATAACGCCGAAAATCGAGTGTAGAAAATCTCCAAGTGTCATTATTTAAAATTTCTTAGACGATTTAGTAAGCAAGATGCCCCCCAAAAAATCAAAAAACACAAATAAAATCCACCGCAGGAGCAAAAAAAAAACACTATTTGCATGCAGATGAATCGCTGTTGAAAAGCGTAAATACAATATACATGCAAATAAGAGCGTCATTGACACTGCATTATCTTTCATTAGGTCCTTAGAATTTCGAGGTATTTTTTTTAGAGGTTTAACCTCTAAAAAAAACCCAGAAATTCAACTAGATTTATTTTTTTATAATCCACTACAAGACCTCAGAGCCCTGTACAGTATTATTTTTTCTCCTCCCTCCAATCGAAAGTTTTGTTTCTTCTTAAAGTAGAGGTGAGTTTTGGAATGCCCCACCTAATGGAAAGATTTGTTTTAAAAAGCTGCAGTAAATTCTTAGAGTGGATGGTCCTGTAACTGTAATTTGACGTCCGAAACATTGTGTAAACGTTCACTGGGGAGGAAGGGGCTCTGGTGTAGAATAGGACAAACATCAAACAGAGATGATAACGGATGACCGAGGTTTTGTTGTTGATTCGTCACGGAAAAAAGAGAAGAAAATAGAAAGAAAAAAAACTTTGGCCAAACAGACGGACGGGTAACGGAAGAGAATAAGAAAAACTGTGTCTTGATGAGAATTTATGTAGCAGGTGACGGAGCCAGGAAAATGCTGTTATCCAATCACAGGAGATGTAATAAGACACGAGTGAAGTTTTCGACATCTTACTTCACTTTTTTCTACCCTCCAACGTTACATACTCGTGCATTTCTTTCACTTTCACTTAAAAAAAGGGCATAATTTCTCCCAGAAGATGTTATAAACCAATGTTTTTCTAATTGATTACCTGTCCTCATTGAATTCTTATGATATTTTTAAACGCGGAAACTGATTACCCCTGTAAATGATACTTTGCCGCATGCTTTATTGCTATACAGGAAAGCCTCTCTCGCTTTCTCTTCGCTCACCTACGATCATTATCTGTAGTCGTCATTAGTGCATGCCTTGGGTATTTTCAGATGGACTTTATAAACATCATTAGAGTATTTTAGAACAGGTGAAGCACTCGTTTCGCAGTCAGGTGATTTGTTGCACGTGGCTGACTTCATTAAAAACACATTACCCGTCCCATGTGGCAATGCAAAGATTGAGCCTCTCTCGCCTTATTTTATTCCTAGGTGACTAGTTAGCATTAAGTAGCATCTTGGGAACCCGATTGCTATTTTACTTCATTTTATTTAATTTTCATCTCTCTCGAAGTAGCGAATAAAGAAGAAAACCAACTGACTCCATCAGAAGCAATTGAAAGCGCAGAGTAGCTGTTACGAGGTGAGATTTCGGATGGAGAACGTTTTAAAATGCATCTCTTCAGCACACTGGGAGTTTGATCTAGCATTAATTAAGCAACTCCTAATTAATCTAAAGCTAAGAATTTACAATAAATAACCATTTTTGACGTTTTGTAAAAGTATATCCGCATCAGAATTCCCCCCTCTGACACATCATGATGCTGGATAAGTTGACGAAGATCATTTAAGATGGCTTCTAGACTTAAAATAGTTTTAATTATCGATTTTATAATTGTTCTAATGATGGAAGTTTAGCATAATTCTTATTTCTATGTCATTTAGAAGTTTGATACGAGTGAGGCTTACACTATATAATCTATAAATACTAAATTCTGATGTTTAATAAATGAAGAAGTCTGTCTTCCTCATCGAGATAATGCTTTAAAGTTACATTTAATAGCCTATATTCATTCAATTCGATAATAGGAGTGCATTTATGCTAAATCAAACCTACAAAATTTAACAAAAGCGAACTCTAAGCATTAAAAATACTTAATGATAATATTTAAATAAACATTATTTCTGAAGAATGAATGAAAGGCACTTTATATATAAAGATTATGCATGTACAAAGCATAACTTCTATATAAAAACATGCTCTAATTAAGAGCATAACTCAAAATCGTTTATATAATTTATGCTTTGTATTTGAACAGTTATGCTCTTAATTATGCATAATTATGAAGTTTAAAGGTACGATAGAAAACACAAATTAGCATCTTTATGCAATTTTATAAATAGAAAAACTAAATATGTAAAAGACTATATTTGTACATAAGCATTATTATTATTATTCTTAATAGTAATTTTTATTTACATATAAAAATAAGGAAAGTAATCAGTGAATATTTATTTATTTTTTTCTCTTCTTTTACTTTTTTTTTATTATAATAATTTTCTTTTTTTTTTTAATCCTCTTCCTCCTCCAGGAAATTACAATATTAAAAAAGTTAATTTTACTTTCAAATTACAATAAATAAAATGAAGTTTTTCTGATTGAAATTGTAACGGGAAAAAAATAATATATAATAAAATAATTATTATTTTTGTATAATTTTAAATTATTATTCTCTTCCTTTTTTTTATATTTTTAATTTACAAAAATTGTTTCCTTTTTTTTATATTCTTATTTAATTAGTTTTAATAAAATTACAATCCAATTAAAATAGTAATATTTATGATGTTTACAATAATGATTTTTTTAAAGAAAATTTTTTTCATATATATTTGATTAATTCGAAAATTTAAATTATTTTTTTTTTAAATTATAACGTTACCTACCCACCACTAGGGGCATGTAAGCGCTTTTAAGAAAAAATTGTAGTTTTACTTATCAACTACCAGGGAGCGTTGAAAAGCTAATAATATACTTTTTAAATTGTAATTTAACTTATCAACCACCAGGCGGCGCTGTAAAGCATTAAAATCTTCCATAGCGCCGCCTAGTGGATGTTATAAAGCATTTAATTTGCACGTGCTTCCATCTGTTGATAATTACGCGAATTAAATCTTAAAAATGCAACCTATTTTTTTTTTGCCTTTTTAAAATTGTATTTTTAACTCCCTTAACGTTAAAAAAAATGCAAAAATTTAATGTAAACATTATTTTAATTGTGTTGAAAACAGGAAGAGCGATTGGCTATTTTTCTGGTCTGCTTAAACAATGGAAAGTAGCTTAAGTTGAAAGTAAACACGCCTGTAAAAAAGAATATATTTCCCTTCTGTATTTTTAAATATTTACATTCACGTGTCTATTATACCTGGTTATAAAAGAATATTTTTTAAAGAAAAAGCAAATATAAAAAAAAAATGTAAAATAAAATCGTTGAGATATTAAACAAGGATGACAAAAATGCATTGAAAGTTTTCACTGTATAAGAGAAAAAATTAGGGTAATCAGGCATCATACATCATCCTCTGACGTCATATCGTAGTATCCAATCTCCTATGCCGTTTTTTTTTTGGACCCTTTTTTCCAACCCTCTGATCCAAAAAGTGACTCTTTTTCTCCTCGTGTATCGAGTGTTTCTGCACTGTACAATAAACTTTTTAGCGTAAAATGCGTTAGAACTGAATTATTTTTTGCTTCCAGGACGACGTTTATGCTTTAATAATGCAATTTTATGTTTTCCAAAGGTCAAATATGTGTTTATTTTTAGTAATTCCGCTTGTGTTACGTAGCATCATGAATGATACTGAGTAAAATAAGCGAATAGCTAAAAATAAAATAGCTTCTGGACGTAAAAATCGTATACAGTTCATTTATACAATACAGAAGTAGGTAGAAATGCTAGTACAGTACAGTATAATTAAGTAAAGATGCTGTAATACAGTGAAGTAGGGTGTAAATTAGATCGTAGTTTATACATTAAAATTGACATGTATTTTGTGATTTTTTTATTACAGTTTATATTGAGTATTGTCATAAAAACAGTAAAATAAAATTTACACCCTTTTTTTTTTAAATGCTAATTGCTGTAAAGGTATAAAGATCTGTGACTTGTGTAAATAAATGTGACTTATAGTTACATCTATGGAATGATAATATAGTGTGTAACGATGAATACGAGTAACTTAAAAGCAGTGATAAGTAGTGTCTACAGACGTATATCATCTGTACTTGGATACACAGATCCGAAGCAAGATGTAGTACAGATAACGTATCGATTATAATTACAGCAGGGAAAGCAATTCTCTACTTTCGTCAGATTGTTTTCCGATTGTTTTCTACCGCTCGCACACTAGAATACTAATAAAGGAGACGTTGCAGTATGGCATCCCCCCCCTCGCGCCCTCTCTTTTTTACGCCACATTCACCCGAATTTGCAGAAGGAAAACAAAACTCTCTAGCGACATGCAAATTGATGCGATTTGCCTAAAACCGGGCAGAAAGCAGGGGGGAAGGAAGTGCAGGCGCACCGGAAGCAATGCAAATCAGCCAGTGCCAAAAAGGGGAACCGCTTATTCCGTTATTTAGTCAAAGGCAGATCAGGTAGAGGGGAAGGTTATTTTGCTAAATCGAAAGTTTGACCCGAATCTCTTAGTAAAATCCTTTTGTCTAGTTTGTATTTTAGATTTGGCTCTGGGCATTTTTCAAACATATTTCGGGGATTGCTTTTTATACTGTACTTGTGCCTTGCTGAATAGAGAGGTAAACAAGATGGCGAATGTATCCCAGGAGAATTTAGTCAATATTTTTAACAGTGTTGACATAGGCTAGACGTCTGAAGAGAAGTGACAGGGAAAAATTTTTAATAGCTATCTTCCCCGACGTGGGGAAATTTCCCTGACAACTAAAATTTTTTTTCAATTTTATTTTAATATTTGTCTCGGTTTTATGCATATTTCCCTAAAAGGTTATAAATTTAGGGAAATTACGCGAATAACGATCAGGAAGGGAATTTTTCAGGGAAATTTTGCGAATTTCCCTACACCACAATAATAACGGGAAATTTCTGAAAAGTTTTCTAAATTAACATTCTTCAAAACGTGTACAGAAAAAAAAATTATCCCCGAATTGAGGGAATTTCTGTTGATATCTTTGAAATTGGGGAAAATTCTTCACGTAATGAGAATTCTTCGAGTGAAGAAGAAAACACGTTAAAACTAATCCAGAATTTTTATATTATTAATTTTTTTTTAAAATTCCCTTAAGTAAATGAAGTTTTAAAACATAATTATTAATGTTATTTTTTTCGAGATTATAATTGTAAAAAAAAACGGGAAAAAAGAATTATTTATGCATTTTATTAACTGCTTATTTTACATCGGATTAACTACTGCTTAAATGGACGTTTCATTAACAGGACGTAGAAACTTAATCTAGATGACGTCTCCGTTTCCACAGCATCTCATCTACATGGAATAAAGTGGAGCTCGCGCTTTTTTTCCCCTTCCCCCTTCTCCTCCACTCTTTTGTTCCTTCAACACACTTGAATTTCCGGCATCTGTCTGGAAATTTATTAGATTCTACCAAACAGCCATAGAATTCCTTTACAGGATTGGAAAACTTTAGTTTCCTAGTTGATTTTTGAGAATTCCAAGCATTCTCCCAGCTTGGATATGTAATATATGACGTCAAAAAACTTCTCTACCCCATTCTGAGAAGTGTTTTTGACTAAAGCTGCAATAATTAGCCCCCCTAATGATGCCATTTTCATATAAAAGCGGTATCTTATAAATATTTTAAAAGATCTTTTGTGTCTCCACTTATCCCAATCTGGCATTAATTTATAACTAAAACTCTCCTCCCTATCTTCGGCCGGAAACGGGGTTAATATTTCCATTCTTCATTCCCAAAACACCTATTTAAAAAGATGACCTCTTGACCTCTCGATGACATTAACTTAAGTGTATCACGCCGGTCGTGATGCTCTTGCGTCACGGTAGTTAATGACTTCATCAGCTTTTGACCCTCGAACTGTCACGTAAGAAGGGTTCAAGGTCAAAGTTCGAGACTAGCTTCAGCGAGTGGAAGAATTTGGGGATATTTTTTTATTGAATTACGAAGCGAATTAACTCTCATTTTAAACAGTATCTAACCCCGAAAATATGTTAATTTACTGAAACAGAACTGGATGGAGGAGGAGGAGAAGGAAGAAAAAATTTAAATGCTAATCGCTAAAAACGTTTACCATCAATCATCTCTGTTGAAGGTTAAATTATAACTAATTTATTATAGCTTAATTAAAATTAACTCGCGCTAATTACCTAACAGGTTTAACGTTAAAAAAGTGTTAATATTCGAATATTTAACAAGATTACAAGCGTTATAAAGACGAAAACTGTCTGGATTTTGTCAAGTGATCGCGTGTTGTTCGTTGGAAACTTTTTGCTCCCTCCCCTTTTTTTTATTTTTTTTATTTTTTGATAATGGATAAACACACTTCTCTAGAATATTTTCTACAATGACGTTTATGAAAATAACTTACCAAAATTATTGTTTAACACAAAACTAACAATCAAGAAATGGTTGGAAACAAAAAATTTCTCTTGTTAATTTTGTATTAAACAATAAACCAAGGGAAAAATTCAGTCAAGAATTCAGGGGAAACAATTAAAATAAATACATTTTTTTTATTGTTTCCTTTGATGGTTTCCCTAAAGGAAGGGGGAAAAAAACTGGAATTTTTTCGGGTTCAAAGACGAGTCAGATTGTCCCTTCTAAATCGGAAATTATACACGAAAAAGTTTAAATATTTAGTGAAAAATCTTTAAAACGTTAAAGTTAACAAATTAATTACAGAGGAGGGCCTAAAAAAACCGAAAAAAGTTGAAGTAAAGTAAGTTAAACTTCATCCTGACTGTTCCATTAACGGCTTGTGTGTGAGCCAGTGCAGCTGTAAATCTGCAAGTTTTTTGATGTTTTTATGAATTTGCAGTTAGTCGAAATGAATGCCTCCCCCCTACCTTAGGTTTTACTTTTTAAAAGAAATTTTCTTAATGTTCTTTCGTGTTTCTGAATATAATACCTGGCTACATATTATCTTCGATTCAGTCAGTTTAAAGTTAGAAGAGGAAGAAAGAAAAAAAAAGAAAAGGATACTTTTAAAGTGTTAAAAAGAAAAATAAGCTTATTTTTCTTTTTTAACACTTTAAGATATTTTTTTTAATCTTAAAATTTATCACTAGAAGTGAAAAAATAGGAGCTGAGAGGAAAGTAAAACCCGAAACACGTTCGAATCTAACTCATAAATGACGTCACATTCTCTTAAATCCATTTTTATAACAAGAACGATAGATTGATTATGATTAAACTTAACTCTTTTTACAGTGGAAAAAAAAATAATAAATATAATAAGCTATAAACTAAAATGAATTAAAAAAATTAAGTTTTGATAAAATTATCTAAATTAATTCCATTAAAGAAGTGGAAGAGGAGGAGGAGGAGGAGGAGAAGAGGAAAAAAAAAACAATTCAATTTTTGTAGAAAATTGCCAAGTATGAAAAGAGGAAATTAAATACCGTCTCGTAATATTTTATTAGTTACAAAGCTCGATATTAACGACTCAGTATCGATATTTTTCTTCCTTAACGTCCAATGGGTGTCAGACTTTCAAACAAATTTGTTTACTAAAGTAACAGAATTAACGAGGTCTTTAATGAATGCTTATACATTATTTTTAAATGTCAGAAAGATTAGAAACTAGAAACAAGACAAATGAACAAATTACTAGTTCTTTTTAATAAATAAATATATTATTTTTTACTTCCCTCTCTTCTTCTTTTTCCTGTATCTATTATCTTTCAACAATTTCTTCCCGGATAATTTTATAGATTTTCCATCTTGAGATCGACCTCCCTAAATGAAAATTGTCTTTAAAATCCATTTAAAATTCCCTCCTCTCTCCCTCCCTCCCTCATCTTCCTAATCTCGTAGCAACACCTGTATTTACATCTGCCCATTCGCACCTGTTTATGTATTAAAATGAAAGCATGATGTTAGTAGTTATAGATAAAGCTGGATGCTGCTGCTGCTGCTGCTGCTCTTCCTCTTCATCTTCCTGAGATAACAAGGAAGCTGTAGAAGTCTACATTTATGAACTTCCCCCATCTTTTTGTAGATTAATTTGTTTTTTTTTTTCTTCTGCTCTTCCTGTTCTTTTCCTAATTTTAAAATATTATTCTGTCTTTGCAATTACAATTCTGTAGCAGCTCGCAGTTTGATAAATGTTCTTTGGATGGTTGATTTTTTCTCTTATTAGATAAGTAATTGTAAAGATTAAAATAATGTCCGGTTGCCCTAACGAAATAAAATAAAATAAAAGCATACTGAAGCAATTGGTTTAGAGGAAAATGAATTGGAGATATTAAATGAATTCTTTTGACTGCTTGATCAAATTACTATTGCCAACTGTTACGCTGCAACGAATGCATTCAAATTTAATGTCGCAGTTTATTATGATAAATAAACATCCCCGACACTCGGAATTGCATGTTTAAATCTCTAATATGGTAAAATATGACTGTTTAATAATTAAACAATTAAAGATCTTACGATTTAATATGTTTGCTGCCATAAATGGTACTACATAAATCTGGATGCTGGGGAAGAGCTGGAAGGAGGAGTAGGATTGGAATGGATTAACTGTGTTATCTGCGGATGGAAAATTAAATAATTTAGAATCTTACCGGGGCATTTCTCATATAAATTTACAAAATAAGAGAAAAATTCCTTGCTAATCCCTTAAAACCTAGTGTTTTAAATACTCGGTTTATGGCTAATTTTGTTTTTTTTTTAGACGTGAAAGTATTGTTTTCATTATCATCTCAAACGATTTTATCTTTTGTACAAATTTAAAATCTTAACAAATGATAAAAATCAATATAAATTTTAATGAGAAATCCCTATTATACAATCTAGAATAATAAATTACTCTTATCACTTCGGAATGGATCTTTTGCATCTCTCTTCATTCTCTGAACCGTTGGAAATGGTTAAGGATGACGTTTTCGATGCTTCTTCATTCTGAATTAAAGGAACGAGACGGATTTACATATATATTGTAAACACAGATAAAGTATTTTATCGTGATTTTAATTAATTTTATTTCGTTTCCGAATGTTTGACGAATTAGCTTACAACTTCAATTTGGAGGAACTACTTTAAATTGTTATTTGTTTCTATAAATTAATAGGGAAATCGCGAACTATAATTCAATGTATTGTGAGCCCATCATTGTCCGAGTGGATAACACCTCTTAATACCAGTAGTTGTTAGTGGATTTTGCGCTCGGCCAACGAGTGGAGTTTTTCTGGGTTTTCTTCACGTTTTTAACGCCCTTTTAGGCGTTAAAAACGTGAAGAAAACCCAGAAAACTCCATATTGGCGAGGTACGAACTCATGACCAGTGTTAAGGGGATTTTTCAAGCTGAAAGACTCGCAGCTTGCTAATGCTGGTTATAATGATAAGAAGTCGAATTTCCTTTGTCGTAAGGTAATTTATTAAGTGTGTAAACAATAACAAACTTTTATATTTTATATACGTACTTGCTTCATCCTTTCTTCTTCTTCCTTTAGAAGAGGTGGCATCAAACCGAATAGCTCAGCTAAGTTCTCACCCACAGAATCAATGACTGAAAATTTTATATATTTATTTATTAAAAATTAATTAATTTATTTATTTTTATTGATCTGTCAATAGTTTTAAAGAAATTACAAAGAAAATCATTTTAAATTCGGCTAAATCCAATTTTATTTCTTATCAATCACCTGCTGCCATCTGTTGCGAAATTGATATATTAAATTTTGGGTTAATTTTTTTTTTATATTAACTATTATAATTTTTGCATACGATAAAATGCATAATTTATACATTTTAATTTTAATTATATTTAACAATTTAATTTAACAAATGCTATAGGTCATAACTCAGAGGTTTATGATAATTATACAAGTAGACCCTCGTATAACACTGTAGATAATTCCGTGTTATATGAATTCCATATTGTACGAGTCACTTAGATTTTACAAATACGTGAGCCGTTCACAGCCCGGCACACGTATTTGTAAAATTAAGTGACTCGTACAATATGGAATTCATATAACACGGAATTATCTACAGTGTTATACGGGGGTCTACTGTAATAATAAAAAATGAAAACTCACCAGCGAGAGTTGTTCTTCCAACGTTGGATATCTTCCTGTAAAAATGATCTCTCTGAAAAAAAAATATATATATAAAATACTTATCTTAAAATCATCACAAATTAATAATAATAATAATAATAAAATGGCAGCACTAGTTTATCCAGGATATAAAGATGTCATGCAGTCGTATATTAAGGTAACAGATTTATAGAATTATTCAAAACTTACGTCGTCATTGTCTATTTTTGAAGTGTCGGGGGAGTGTAAATTTTCGTCACCGATCTTCTTCAAAACTCCATCACAGAAGTGAATTATCTCGGAAGAACTTTTGTCCACGTCATTCCGATTGTCTTCCGATTTCAATAACCTCTCCCTTTTATCCGCATCGATCAAATTATCCTGAAATACGTTAAATTATTCAACTTTCAATAATAATGTAATTAACCCTTGGGGATTTGGAAGAAAACAGTACACACGAAAAGGGGGTACTGGAATCTGTACTAAATTTGAGAATATTTCGTTAGTACTCCTTCCTGAAGGACCAGATGGCTCAGGAAGTACAGGTATCGAACTAATATAGTCGGCTCCCTAATCTGCGGGGGTGTACAATGGTTTCATCTGTATGAACAAATATACACTTCATTACGCCTTATAGTAAGATCGTAAAGTTCCTCCGCAGTGGGCGTATGAACGGGAAGATCTTCCAAAAACGAAGTAATGACTCACAGGTAAAAGAGTTAAGTAAGTTGTGATGTCAGCACACGGGGATGACCCACTGTGGAGGAACTTTATGATCGCATTATATAACAATGATTTACATAGCAATTACATTGTATTACGTAGTATAAATGTGATTTAAAGTATACGGGAAAATGTACGTAGATTATATGCAAATAGAATATCATTTTATATAAGAAACTCGAACATCCACAGATTTTTGGTATCCTTCTGCGAAATCCGTGGATACCGAAGAACAACCGTACTCTAAGAAACTCATATTCCAGTTTAAAGTATTTAAATCATGAAAATGAAATAAAAATGTATTCAAAATGTCACGCCATACACACCCATTCAACATATTTGGCATAATGGCAGAAATTTTAGTGTGTGGTTACATCCAGATATACATACATTGGATCCAATCTATCTACATGCAATTGTCTCACCGCAGGGCTGAATGAATTTGTGATGGACATAAAAAATTATTCTCTTAACATTTAACAAGAAATGTTTGGATCTAAAGCTATTGTCCATGTGTCTATTGTCAAGAATCAACAAAAAACAAAAAAAAGATACCATACTGCTACTGATCTAGATACTGCAATGGATATAAACTTTCTCCCTGGATTTACATTTGAGGAGCTTTCTTAGTAAATATATTATTTAAAAGAAATAATAATAACACAGTAGTTAGCTCCTGATCTACCATCAGGGACAGCCGAGCGGTCAAGGTGGCAGCCTACCGCTCTGGAGGATCCGGGACCGAATCCGAACGGGTCGAAAAACCCCCAGAAATTTTTCAGTAGTGGTCCGTCCGGATATGTCAGGCCCCGTCCCTCGCCACCCAGCACCCCATTGTGGGCCTGGCCAAATCAATAATGGGTTTGCTAAAAGAGGCCCTCTTATGACCTACAGGTTGAAGAGTTAAAACAGAAAAAGTAACAGGACAATTGAATGTTTACAAACACAAAGTTGTCATTTAAAATGTCAAAGATTGTTACGTATACATAACAGCCAGGAAAGTAAAATGAAGACTCCATATGTATATTGTGGATGTCAACCAACAAAACATTTCAAATTGCAGCCCAATTAGTTATTCATACTTGAAGTTCCTTTATAGTTCTATTTAATAACTTGAAAATATGAATTAAAATACTATAGTATTGTATACATTCATTAAAAATGCTCTCATACATATAAATAGTTTACGCAGCCTTGCACAAAAGTTCAGAGAAACATTTAAGAGATGAAGCCGTGATCACACCCAGAATTAATACAAAAAGCAACTGAAGATGTAAACAATATCTGGGGTGATGATTTTATCATGTATATAAAATAATTTAACACTTATTCTTCTCTTAAAACATAATATAATGGGGATTATACAGCAATCTGATAATTACATTTATAACAGGTTAAATGTTTAATTTTAATACCATTTATTCAGGTAAAGATTTAGGATTAAAACATCAGTTATTTCCTAAAAATCAGAATTTCCTGATAACTTTTTTATTTATATTTTAAATATTGATTTTTTATTTTGATTATTAGTTTAAAACACTTCCCAAAGACATTTTACAAGTAGATTATACACTACAATACTGAATTAATACAAAAAACAGACAAAACATCCCATGATCAAGGATGTGAGGTTACATCACAAACACTTTAACAATTATAATTTGTAAAATTTCTTATTCAATTCCAGGGAGGGGCAAAAGCCTAGTTTGCCCCTTATGTGGATGTCCATGTCTACAAGCATTGTATTTATTGAAATAATTATTTTTAATTGTTTTCAGAGCACATCATCAATTTACAAATGAATTAATGAACCAATTTAAATGAAATTAAACTCAGTACTGGCAAGTAAGTTGATTATTCTTGAATATTTATAATAATTAGTTAGAATTTTATTAAAATGGCTACATCATTAACTAATACTTATTATCACCTATTACAAACAGTTGTTATAACCTTAATTAGAAACAAGTAAATGTTAATTTTCACATAATTGATTAAAGAAATGTCTGGAATTTATTTGTAAGACTTACCATATAAAATATATTCTTATATATTTTTGGTAGGAATCTTAATATTCGATTGATAGGTCTGGACGTGACGAGAAGCAATCGTGATTTTTTGTGTATATAAATTGTCGGGTTGTTTCCCGTATTCACTAGAATTGCTATTCATGCAAAGCGAGCTATATTTTCCGCAAGCTGTTTATATCATTATATGCAGATATCATACGTTATAATAATAATAGATTGGATTCATTTATCTTTATATGAATATTCCTTATATTTTATAGGATTTAAGTATGTTTGTTTTTTCTTATGATTTGAAGATGGAATGATTATTTCCAGATGTAAATGATACAAAAGAAAGAAAGAGAATAAATATTGATATGTTCACAATAAATGTTTTTAGTTATTAAATTATTGCTGCACTTTCAAGGTTGTTTGAGGATGTTTGTTACTTTGCACAGCAGCTGTGAATTAATTAAGTATTGATTTTATGAATGTAACAGAAGCCACTTCCAATCATCAGTGCCATGGTTTGCTTAATATTCTGTTTAAAAAATTTATTGATCTTAAAAATATTTTAAAACTATTATAATTGTCTCAGTTTATTCATTATGTGAAGATGCTTTTAATCATATTATTATTATTACATATTTATTTCTCCTTTATTTCATTATATTTGGATCAAATCCTATGTATTTACATAAATTTATAGGTATTGCAGATTGAGGCTTTTGGAAGATTTTATTAAGACTGTTGTCCAGGGCTGTTGAGTTTGCATAGGACTGGGGAATAAAGTGAAACCCTTAGCCATTCTTTTTTTTTTAAACAGAGGAAGTACTGTACCTAGAATGATGAAACAACTTTTCTTTCAGTAATAAATGTTGGGTTTATACAAAAGTTTCTGGAATTTTTTGGTGGGACATGCAGACCAGTCCATTGGGAGATGTTTCCATGGAATACCACTATAACTTTGGAAAGATACTGTGCTTGGCTGCAACGTTTGGCCAATGCCATTCACATTAAGTGGTCACAGACTATTTCACTTTCTGATGACACAAGACCAGGCATGTTGAAGTTGAACAGGTAGAAATTCTCTAATGCCACTTGTAGCCTGGACATTGCACCATCCGTCTACCATCCCTTCTGCTCCACACAACACTTCTTGAATGGAAAGCAATTCACCAATGACAAGGAGATGAAAACTGCACTCAAATCAAATCAGCCCAAGTTTTATTCGGTAGAATTTGTGACTTAATCAATGGAAGAAGGTGTTTGAATATAATGGGAATTATTTTCTTGAATAAACATTCAAAAAACTTAAATTTTTTATCTTTGAATTAATTATTGTAGTAAAAAACTAGAAAATTCCTGAAATACTGTATTTGCTCAACCCATGCCTCAAATTCAGTAGTAGAAATAATATTTGATTAAATTAAAAAATAAATTATTAATGATGTAGATAATATTTCACTATTCTTAAAATTATTATATTTGTTAATGGTTTCACCAGAGAAGCTGTGAAAACAAAGTTTGAATGAATAAATGGAAAATTTGGTGAATGATCTAATGATTTAAATAGAATGGAATAAGCAAAAGCCAGATGTTGCTCATATTAAAGCAATCCTACAACAAACCTGTAAAATAGAACAAGAATTATCTTACATTAATATTCCAAATGAATAATTAATTATTACTAATGACTAAACTGACCAAATAAAAACAGTATCTTTTTATTTAACATAAACAGAGCAACTCATCTCCTGGCTCCCTCAAGCTTACAACACACTGTCTCTTTTCTCACGCCTTCTCCAGTCCTTTTCTCCTGCCACAACCATTCAATCTGTGTTGCCACCTCAGTATTTACACACAGTTAAATTTAATGTTTAATTACAACTTGAATATCAACATATATTATAATTAATTAATATGAAGGATCTTCAGAACAGAGAAATATATGTATATATATAAATGACAAACATTTTATGAGTTATTGATATTGTAAGGAAAAGTAAATTCCTTATAATAAATCTGAAACAGATCTTACTTTTATTACAGTGATGATAATTTTTATAGAAATATTTTATTAAATAGATTCTTTATGATGCTAAAAAAGAACATTACTTACCGAGATTGTTGGAAAAGATCATTACAAGGTTTAGTTTTAATGGAAATTTCATTTTATGTTTCAACTTAAATATAATTCTGTTTTTAGAACAAGCCCCACAAATTATTTAAAGCATGGGAATGCTTTGAAAATGTGTTCCAGACTAAAAACTGAAGTTCAAATATATTCTTACACTTAATTTCCATTATTATATAAATTAGCAGCAACAACTAATCTTCAAATACTATTATTTTTTCCTTAAAATCAATACATTAACTCAAATTTTGCATCTTTTTTTATAAAAGGAAGATGATTTAACACAGAAAACCTGGAGAGGCTCCATATGCAGTGATTATAATAAACAATACGCTCATTCGAGATGCAGTTATCTGTTGTAATCCTCAAATATTTTACTAAAACAAATGAATTTTAAATTGTCATATACCCTTTCATTGCTTATTGGTTTATTCTATTTATTGGAATTAATTATCCAAACATTACAGGTAATCTATGGCAAACATCAAAGCTCAGTCAGAAGGCTTTAAAACTGTTTAAACAAATTATAATATGAAGTTGTATTCTTTGTATTGTTTTATCTTTGGTTTTTAAGGTTTTATATAGAGTATACAGAGTCAGTGGAATGCACTAAGTAGCCTATGCAAGACATAGAGTTGCTTAAGCGCATGACAGGCACCTTGGATGCAAAAGGAGAATTTAAATTTCACTAAGTGCTAAATTCAAGGCTATATTTAAAAAATTAGCTCGAATTCCTGCATAAATTAAATCAACTGTAAAGTTTGTTTACATTTGCTTCACTCAATTCGCATCATTGTGGCTACTTTATATAATATAAACGAGTAAACCTCTGAACTTAGTTCAAAAATTAGCAAAATTTTATAATTTTAACATTTAAATGCATTTATTTCGTGTTTAAAGAGAAAGCATCCATGCCACATCGACCACGTTTCTTCCACCTACTTCGACCAACGCCCCCTTAGATTTTTATGAAAATATAGGAAAGAAAATTTTTGAAAATAAAATAATTGGAATTGCATACTTCAGTTAATTTGTCTTTACAAGTTTCCAATTCTTTTAATTCTATTAATTCCTTTTCATTATTGACAGCCATTATTAATCAAGATTATTATCTTCTACAAGATAATGAAAGTTTTGGTTTTTTAGTGTTTTATACTCTAATTGAACCTAATACGAAGATGTGAAGCCGCTACGTGAGATTCGGATTCGATTTCGAATCGATTCAATTTCGTGGATGAATTTGATCCGGATATATCGAATCTCGTTCGTACGCCCAATCATTATTGTGGGAGTGTCCGAACATACTCATTACAAATGAGTTTTATTTATATTATTTCTGCTCGTCCCTCGTCACATGGCTGCCATAACTGTAGACTGGGCTGTGCTCACTGTTGACCGGTTATTAATTTAAATATAATAATTTATTTTTAAATATTTTGAAAAAAATTTTCCCGCTCCGGCTGATGTTTTCTGTCATAAATAATCTTTGAGTTACCGATGTGTATAACTAATAATACGCGGATCTTCTACAGATACCAAACGTCCTACTTTAGGAGAACAGAAATTGTAGGGCATACAATTTCTGTCCCAAACCTCTGTTGAACAAAAAGCAAAGATGCTTTTTTCGGGGCTGATCCGACCGGATATGTCGGGCATCGTCCCTCACTACTACCCCTTTGTGGGCCTGTCCGAGCCCATAATGGGCTTGCTATAAGAGGCCCTCTTGGTGTCCACAGGGCAAAAAAAAGATGGACGAGTGAATAAAAATCATTCGTTAGTTGGTCGCGGGTTCCCTCATTAGCGGTTTTTGTTTATTTGTATACGGCAGCGCGACACGCGAACCCGAGAGTCCTTTCTTAAACCTCCATTTGTAGAATCTAAGTTGGACTTAATTAAGCTTTAAAATACTTGCTATAACTATTACTCGAATTACCCTAGATTTTACACGAATTACGAGCATTAATTACAATTAAAATTTATATTTTTGCATAAATTAACATAGTAACTTTACGAAAATCCAACACTCTACTCGAAATCCAGTATAGGAAAGCTTATAAACAAGTCCTAAATCTAATTTTGAAATGCTTAATTATACTCTAACTCAATTAATAATTATGGAATTAATTTCAAATTAATTTTTCCTTAAAATTTATAAGTCTCCACATCATTAAGATCGATGGAAAAATATATAAAATTAGGAAAAAATGTGATTTAATACTACTTTTTTACTGTTTACCTGAATGGAATTAAAGGAAGAAAGTTCAATGAACATTCAAAAAATAATCGATAAAGATCTGACGACTTTGACTTTCCTTTGACGTTGGTTCCAGACGGTTGATCCTGTTCTAAAATTGAATAAAATCGACCTAATTCGTTCTGGAAGGAAAGATGACGTCAAAATCAAGATAAACATCAATTTACGCAAATCTTCTTAAGTATTCCAATTACTCAATAATAAACAGGCAGTTTTTTTTTTTACATACGGTTTACAAGATGTGCTCCTCTTCGGTGTTTTTCCTATTGGTTTTTTGCAAATAAATGAGAGAGAAAAGAATGAAAGTATCTTCAGACTCGTATATTCTCATTAGAAATTGATCCTTTGAATAAAATAAAATAACTTGAATCTTTCTCTCTTCAGGATCTTCAGGATTTTTCAACTCCTCACACACTCTTCGTGATCCTTTTTAGAATCTCCTTTTGCTCTTTCAGGACTTGAAGCTGTTCTTTAGATCCTCTTCAGATTGATTTCTATTTAGGTAAAGATTTTAATTAATTATAGCTTATCTTTCTAGTTTTTTATTGAATAAATGCACAACTTCATTTAAAAATTAATCACCATCATCATCAGTACCATTTGTAATTATCATCTTTAGATGTGTATTCATTACATATCGGTAGACATTTTCAACAAGAGTTCTTCATCTGTAAGGAATAATACAAATGCCACATCATCATTATTATTTACACTTTATAATTTCTAGAATTTTAAATATAATATATTGATACTTACTCCATTGTTTTCTCTATGACCTAATTAAGAAGAGATGTTACTACCATCCTGTTATAATCCCATAAAGATGAAGATGCAGATTAACTTATAATACTTTCTTTTTACAGAATTATATCAAAAAGTGAAAGGGAAATAGTGAATAATCATTGTTTAGTACCTGTGACAAAAGGAAAAATACCTTCAAGTGATGATTTTTCTTTAAAAATACATCATTTTAAGCCCCCCTCTTCCGCATTTTCACTTTCTAAATCGTCGCTTCTATTTTAGTCAATAAGATTTATACACGTTTTTTTTTTTTATTCTGTCTCGATTAAGGTGTAATTATATAAATGTAACTTTATTTTATATTTTACCTCGTTTTAATGCTTTTGTTCAAGATTATACTCAACTAATCTTGAACAAAAACACTGCTTCAACGGATATAATCGATTTTATAACCATACAATTTACAGCTTGATTTTGTTACGCGAAATTCTCCCATTAAAAAAGAAAAAAAGTAATTGAATCTCACAGAAAAATGTAGAACAATATCTTATGTTAACGTACAAACATACATACACGTATATTTTTTTATTTTTTTATTAATTAACTGTATCTAGTTTTGCTACTTAGACGAGATTGATATCATTACTTCCGGATAAAATAGAGGAAAATTCGTGTTGCAAATGGGATTTTTCCTGATTTTTGCGACAATTATTTAAGTTTTTTGCTTTATTTGCCTCTTAATAAGTTAACCCTTCAGAAATTTTGATAAATTTTAATATATTTTCCTGTTTACAAACCTCCCTAACATGCCATCTTAACTGACCTCGAGTCTGGATGTAGGACATTTTGACAGGACTATTTTCACACTTCACTGATTTTCGACGAACTGTTCACCTTACACAAGGACTCTAGTTTTAAGTATAGTCGTACAATTGTACATATTACTCGTCGGGAGATAAATACAATTAAAATTTGGCATCCTAGAAAAGTTTGGAGAGCGGAAACAAGGGGCAACGTGGTGTCACACGTTTATAATATCCGGAAAACAGGAACCATTTTCGGATATTGGTACATATAGGTACATAGAGTTACAATCACGTTACGCTTCTTCATAATCACCGTAACAGCTTCGTTATCCTATTGTTTATCTTTAAAATAAATTTATGTTTAGTAACAGAGTGAAAGTATTTTTCTCAGGGAAAGGATCTAATGAGATATGATATCGTGATATCAGTATAATAAATGAAGCGCATCTTTTTACATAATTTCCTTTATGATTTGTGCTCATATTTATAGAAAAATTCTTCAGGAATAAGGGAAAAGGAGGCAAAAGATTTACAGATAGTGTTATCTGAGTATCTAATTTAACAATGCTACAAAAAATTAACTGAAGTAAGACGTTTTATTTCTAAAAAAAATACTTTCCTAATTATTTTCTACCATTAAAAAATTGAAAGCTTAGTCTCTCCACCTACTATTTACAATTTATTTACTTTCTTTACTGTAGCGAATACCTCTCTATAACCGAATTTAGGTCATACCCCTCCTGAAAAAGCGGATCTGCTTAAGGTTCACTGTGCTGAAATTCCCCAAAAAATCGGCTACGTAAACCTCCTTAACGGGATGAGACACCGGATATCTTTAAGGATGTTTCCGCTTTACCTACTGACCAACATAAGTAAGTGACATGGGGGTTACCGAATCAGAAAAACACTCCCACAGACTTACGAAAATATTCCAAAAAATACCTCCTGTAGAAGATACGTAACTCAAAAATTATCGTATTTTTATGTTATTTAACTGTCTTTTTTTATTTGTTTTTTAAGGTAAGAGATTATAAAAGAATTTGATGAATATTTTAGCACAGAGTTGCACTCACGTGTCACACGGGTTTTCCTTCTTGACGTCAATAAACGAGTCACCATTCCGGAACGTCATTGGCTGCAGGGGTTGTTCACCATCCACTTCAACCCCCTACTTAGCGGTTCCTTCCTCAGTCTTCTTATTTGATTTCGTGCTGAAAGGACGTAGAGTAAAGGAGTGGAAAAATTCCTTCGTTGTATGGATAATTTCTCGAGGATGGTTCACCTCCATAAGTTGTAAGTAACTTTATTAAGTGATATAACTTTAATAAAATTTAAATTTAAGAATATATAACTCTAATAATGTGCAAAGAGTTAAAGGGCGTGTTTAATGGTAGTACCATTAAATGCATCCTATAGAAACGTGGGAATTTTGGCTAATTTACCGCTAAAATTACACTTTTAAATGTTTAGAGTAACAATTTTAATATATTACTCGTATAAATCTATTAAAGTCATCATCTTCATCAATGAAGTTTAATTGTTACCGGTGATGACGATGCTTACATACAGAGTAATTCACCTTTAAGCAGAGATTTAAAGGTAGAAGTTTGTACTCCATTAAAATACATTGAACTAAGAGTTTTTATAGTGTATTCTAATTTATTAAACTCAATATACTTCCTTACAACCTGCCAAGTTTGCATGACAATGAAGAAAAAACTTTCGATAGTAAAGATAGGTTCTATCTGTAACCTAATTATATTAAGAAATTGATACGAATGGCGTATAAAAACTGTAGCAAAACATGCCAAAAATATGTAAATTTATAGCTAAATGTTCTTTATTTAGTAACAATTTACCAGAAGGTATTTTCCTCCAGCAATTTTATTCGGAAGTGGAATGCATAAAATGGTAGATAATAAAATGGCATTAAAATATAATACGAGACCCGAACTTTTCCGTTACAGATCAACAAATAACGGAAAAATCTACAAGGAGAAAATTACTTAAAAATTTTATTTTTATAGTTTCTGTTTCCTGCCAAAAACTTTACATTATAGGTCAATGACATACGCATTACAACAGAAGGAGTTTCTGTGAGAGGCGACTCCCCAACTAGGAAAAAAAAAGGTCCAAAATCCGCTTACTATATAATAAATTGTGTCATTTGTAACTTACTTCATCCTCTTCCGGCGTCGTTAATTCCATTCTAGAAAAGATCTAGAAGTAATTTACAGAATAAACACGAAATCGATTGATTAAATAAACACGTGTTTATTTAATTAATCGATTTCTTTTCTAGAATTATTCATTTAAACTTGTAAGTTACAAAACCATTGTTAAAATAAACGAATTATTTTCTGTTGATTCCAACAATGGGTGTAACTTACACTTTTTCTCTAGAATCGTAATTGTTATAATTTATAATTTTTTCAAGAATCCAGAGAAAAAAAGTTTTCTTGAATTTTGAAAATTTTTAGGACAAAAAAAAAAACTAGAAAATTGGAATTATTCAATCTGGATCTACCTCATTTCTATACAATCACCACCCTTCCTTGTTTTTTTACACACTAAAACTTAATTGTTTAACGATTTTGATAAAAGTATGTTACATTATCTTGCATCTACACACCACGAGAATATAGTATAATAGCGTAACTCACCCTTAAAAACTAGTTAAACTACATTATTTTACTTGAAAGTTACGAAAGGAAACAATTAAAACGCTACAGTACACATAGTAAGGTATATCCACTTATAAGCATCCTTAAAATTAAAGTAATCATAGAAAAATAAGAATTTTCTAGGATTTTTTTATCAAGAAACCTCATAAATCGTGTTTTAGTACATATTAAACGAAACTGATAGGGGGTCATCCACAAAAATAGGTTAAATTTCTTGGTATTCTTGTATAAAAACGTAACTAGGATGAGATAGATAGTTTTAGAATAGATTTTCTGATACTTATCGGCAATCGTAACAATGATTTGGAAGTATGTTACTAAATATAGAGCAATTATAACCTGTCTGAGGTTTGCCCTCGTAACCTACTGATGCTTTATCGCCGTCTAATTTCAAGGTTTTGTCTCACAGCGAGACAAAATCTCAATATAGGACAATTTAAATAATTAATAAATAAATCCCACGCTTAAACTAATTTCTAGAGAAATTCCCTTCAGAAAGGTCGAATTTTCTTTTATTTATTTATTTATTTATTTCCAGCTTCACGAAAATGTTCAGGATAGCGATAATTCTATACGTTCTATCAATGGTTAGTTGCCAGAATATAGAGAAATTATCAGGTAAGAAAGTTTTTTTTTTCATTTATAAACTGTTTAATGTATAAAATATAAAAGAAAATAAAGCGTAAGATAATTAAATAATAGCGTGTATTCATATCTTTTATATATAAATATCCGTTTAAAATTTACGCTTCAGTAACATTGCGTTACTTGTGATACAAATCAAGTTATTTTACGTCAAATTTTCCTCTATAAATTTTATTTTATTCTATAAAATTTGTTTTAAAATATTTATGTTCTATTCTAGAATGATTTTTCTAACTAAATTACTTACATTCTTGCAATTTACGTGAGAAATTCTTGAAAAATCTAGAATCGTGTTTATTAAATAAATCAATTACTATTGTAGAAAAATAAATCTGTTAATACAGAAGTTGCGGCCGAAGTTTTCAACGCGAAAACGTGTACGTCGGACGTTCAGCGCCGCCTTCCTGTAAGCCTAGAAGTTTGACAATGGCGTTTGAAACGTCGAGCTGACGTTCCAAACGCCATTGTCAAACTTCTAGGCTTACAAGATGGCGGGGCTCAACGTTCGACGTTCACGTTTTCGCGTTGAAAACTTCAACCGCAACCTCTCTAATACATACCATAAAATAATAAACAGCGATTAAATTTATAATTAATTGTTTTTAGCTTGCTTCCAATTAAGAGAGATCAAAACGAGAGAGGCTCAAGCGTTAGGAACAGAAGGTATCAAGATATTTATACCAGTCTGTAAACAAAATGGAGATTTTGAAGACATACAATGCGACAGTTTTCTAGAGAGATGTTGGTGCGTAAATAGAAGTGGATTAGAAATACCAGGAACTAGAGCATCTGATCGTAACCACGTTAATTGTAAAGGTTAGATGAATCGATTCTATATTGTATGAGAAAATTTTAAAATTATTAGTATATAAATGTAGTCTTTTTCGTCACCTTTAGCACCTGCAAAGTGTTCGAGATCTTTCTGTAGGATGTTCTGTGAAGATGGTTTCGAGTTAGATGCTAATGGATGCCCTATATGTAAATGTTACGATCCATGCCAGGTATGTGGTGGTTTTATTTTTTAAAAAAAAGAATTAATTTTAAAAGCATTAATGTAGGATAAGAAAGCACAAGGTGACCTATTTTTTTGATTATTTTAGAGAACATTTTTAGATAGATTTATATCTATTTTTGGAAACGGAGCACTGTGTTCTATGTTCCAACCCATTTCATTACCTAATTAATTTATAGTAAATAATTGCATACAGTTTTTACGTTAGTTGACATTGTTATAATTTAAAATAGGGAATTATAGAATGGTTGCATAATCTAGAGCTGTTCACAGGCTCGTGTAGCAAATTATACCTTTAATTTTTACCTTTATACATCATCTCTTTACTCTAGAAAATAAAGGGAGAGAGAAATACTCGAAGGGCTTCAACTCTAATTGACACTTTGAATCATATTTATGAATAAATTCCACAGTTTATATCATTTAATCAGCTTTTTACTAAAATTCTTTAAATTACAGAACATCAATTGCCCAAATAAACAATCGTGCCACGTGGAAAAGATCCCTTGCTCTGAAGAAAAGTGCCCATCTATAGGAAATTGTAAGTTCAAGTAATTTTTCTTGGTGATGATAATTACGATGATAATGATGATGAACTGTTTATTAATTTAGGCAGGGCTTCCAGAAGATTAGACCCATTATGTTCTGAAGGATCTCCTCTCTATTATCCAAGTAACAAACCCTTCATTTGCACTAATAATTCGAATGGGGTGAGATGTCCCTCTGGTTATAAGTGTAACATCGTGTTAGATAATAATTTTGGAGTGTGTTGTCCATCGAAAGGTATCAAAGATTTAAACACGCAAATTAGGTTGTGTCGTTATATTTATATTTAAATCTATGTTATTTTATAGAAGTAGAAGTAAGAGATAAGCTTAAAGAATGTGTCCTAACTTACACTGGAAAATGCGGGAAGAAATGTGTAAAAGACAATGACTGCGAGGGAAATAAGAGATGTTGCCAGACTGAAACGTGTGGAAAAATGTGTGCAGCATCGCAAAATTCCAGTTGTGAGTATTATAATAATACAATTTAACTCAGTTTTATGTGTATTCTTTCATATCAAGCAGTGATACTAATAAACAATAAAACTAGTGGTTTGTAGTGTTATTGTAGATAAAATGTACTATTAAAAATTCTATATTTAACATTTTGTTAGTGTGTTTTCAACAAGTGGCAGCATTAAAATCACTTAAAACTGTAAAGACTTCGTTGTGGCTCCCTCGTTGTCGAGATGATGGTAATTTTGAATATAAACAATGTCTTCCTGACAATAAATTATGCTGGTGCGTCAATAATGATGGAATTCAACTCGGCAAAGCATTTACTCCCAAAGAATTATATAATTGTGGAAAGAATGGTAAAAGTAAGTTATAATCAATGTCTATCTAATCGATTATAATAAAAATATGAATTATAAAACATTGATAAATACCCTTTCAGCTTCACCAAAACCTGGTATTTGTCCTTACGATGATGAGATATCTTGCGATAACGAATCGTGTACATCAGATGAAGATTGTGAAGGAAATAAAAAATGTTGTAAAAGTTTACATTGTGGTTTCAAATGTGTTTCGGCACTTCCTAAACCTCCAAAGATCCCAACAAGTAAGACTTTTCTGTTAATTATTCTGTTAGCTATCAAGACTAGGGGTTAAACACACTTTAAAAATCCACTGGCTAAGACCCTAGACCTTTACAGGCTTTACATTGTATAAAGGGTCTAAGATCGAGGCCTAATTCTGCCATCTAAATTGATACTACTATAGAATCCTTGAATAGTCTTTGTATTTTTTTAATAATATAACATAATTATACCAATTTATTCTTTCTCTTGCTTAGTTTGCGAACATTTAAGGAACATCGGAATGCAACTAATTGCAAACAACAGAAGTTTAGCCATTCCGGTACCACAATGTTTACCAGATGGCAAATATAGTCCCAGACAATGCGATACCAAAGATAACTGTTGGTGCGTTAACACATTTGGAGTGAAAATCACTGGTTCCGAACATAAATTTAAGGATCCTGTTAGTTGTAGAGAAGGTTTGTAAATAAATATCATTCATTGTTTTAAATTCTAATATAGAGAATTAATAATATAAATATATCTTTCAGCAAGATCTATGGATAAATGCGATGGAAGAATATGCCGTTTAGGATGTCCTTTCGGATTTGAAACGGATAAAGATGGCTGCGAAATTTGTGAATGTAGAGATCCTTGTCAGGTACTTAATTGTATAATTAAATTCTTCAGATTTTCATTTAACTTTCAGAAATGCTACTTGATGTAGGCCCTAATTCAGAATATTTATAAATGTCCCCTCAACTTGTATAATAGAAACACCATATCTAGTGGACACGTTAAGTTATAAAGACCTTAGACAATTGTAAACTTGCAACTCCCCTCTTATATAACATTACATAATGTAAAGTTCTATTATTGTGATACATAATATTGTATATAATTTAAGATGCTAACAGGCACTGTAAATTTGGAATGTAAAAGCGCAAGGCCTTAGGGTTTTGCCTAATAACCCTCATTTTAGGGGTTTTTTATGTCTCTGAATGCATTCTTAATGGTGGACCCTTAGTTAATTTTGAAAATGGAGACAATGTTAGGTAAAGAACTAGGAGGCTAAGAAGGATTGGAGTGATGGAAATAAGATAATGCAACACATGGGCAATCTGCTAAGGGGAGTGCTCCTCAGTATGACATTTTATGGGAGACTGACTCCTATTTAGGTATTATAACATGTGAAGAAAGCCTAGAAAACTCCACATGGCTAGCCCATTGGAAGGCACAAACAAGTGTTCAGTAGTTTCAGTAGCGAACCACTTGGCACTGGTGGGCCAGATTAAGAAAGAATAAAGGAAACATTATTATTACATATAATTATATATTATATTTACGTATAAGATATCTATTTTAATTGCATTTCTTTATTTAGGATGTAAAATGTTCAACTCATCACGTTTGCAAACTAATAGAAGTTCAATGTGATTATGGTTGGTGTCCGAAAGTACCTATGTGTAAGTATAAGTCGACCACAATTATAAAACTACAGAATGTCCGAAAAGTCTGGAATCACAGAATTTATATTCCTTCAACCTCCAGACAACAGAAAAAGTGATGTTTCTTTACAATCAACAGAGCGCCCAATTCTATTGTTAAGATGATGATTCTTCAAGTGTTTTGAAGAAGTATTACTTTTCTTTATAATTAACATTTTCGCTCTCACCTGTCAAGATGGTCCTCGTCAAATCTTCAGATTCATCTGCAGAGGGTACCACGTTTCTTTCTACTTGAAATACAGGGATCAAAATTTTTATCATGGGTCAAAATGGAGAGTCTAAACTTCCAAGATCTTTGAAGAAGAAGTGATACGTCTGTTTGTATACAAGAGGGATCAGCAGCTTTGCTATCAACTATCAAAATGCCGATTTCCATATGATCTGTTGAATATGAAGGATCATTTCATTTGCAAAGTGCCTAAATCGGATTAATGGAATAATGCAAAGTAACACATGGGCGATCTGTTAGAACGGAGAAGTATCTATGGGAGACTGATCCCCATTGCAAAGATGTTTAGAAGGCAAAAATTCTATAGTTCTAGATTTTTCGGATGAAGCTCATGAAGCTAATTTAGGAGATAGTTTCAAACTATTTAATTAGATATTTATTTCTCAACTACACTCTAAAGAATTGATAGAAGTAAATTTTAAATTTAGGTGAACCAATCCCATCAAATTTATGTCCTTATGGAAGTCCCTTCTTTCGAGGAAACAGCAGCCAATTGGTTACCTGCGATCCTTACGTAGAATTAGGGAAACCGTCAGAATGTCCAAATTCCCATAAATGTATTAAAAATGAAGAATTTTCTGGTGTTTGCTGCTTGAGTAAGTACATAGAGACTGAATTTCATATATTTCACTAAAAGAATTAAAAAATATAATACGCTTAATACGCGAAATTCTATAATTTCAGATGGGCAAATTACAAGAAACACGAGAAATCAACTTGTAATTGCCAAAATTGGATCGTGTCCTCCTGTATTACCCTGGGAAGCGGGACTTTGTATAAATCAGTGCCTGTACGACAATGAGTGTCCTGGATACCAGAAATGTTGCCTTAATGGATGTGGAAAGTATATGTGTAAAGATCCTGAAGGTAAGAATTACAGATTTAAATATATATATATATATAGTATACTACAAATAGGATAGAGTGCTCTATAAAGGAGGCTCAACAGTTAGGATAGGTTGCTCAACAGCTGATCAACAGATAGGGTAGGAGAAAAGGTTACTTAGGAGAGGTTTAAGTAGGGTGTAAGAAAAATTCCATCTTACAACAATTGCAAACTATTCATACTTAAAAGATAAATGATTAAATGCTTAAAATATTAAATATTTTACTCAATATTGTTTTATTTTTAGGTTTTACGAGTAAAATAGGGCAATGCCCATATAACGTGTCGAGTAACTCAGAAAATTGTGACTTCCAGTGCAAGAATGACTACCAATGCAAAGGTGACAGTAAATGCTGTTCGAATGGGTGCGGGACTCAATGCATGAATCCAATTAAAATGAAAGGTATTATTATAATTATTTTAAATATATATATTTTAAAATTAATAATTTCATTTTTAAAACGATCATTTTTTGGCATTAAAGCTTGCGAACATCAAAGAGAAGTTACGATACAACGTGTCAGGCAAATGGGATTGAAACCGAATGAAGTTTACATTCCGACGTGTCAAGCTGATGGTACTTACGATAGGATTCAATGTAATCCTGTTCGTGAGCATTGTTGGTGTGTAGATAATTATGGTGTTAGAATACCTGGAATTAAACCTCGACCGGCTTCAGAAATTGACTGTAAAAGTGAGTATATTTTAAATTTTAAATAAAAGATATAGGTAAAATTAACGAACGTTTTCTTTTATAAAGATGTGGACACTTGCCCATCAATTAAGTGTAATCTCACTTGCCCCGTTGGCTTTAAACACGACAATGCAGGATGCCCTATTTGTGCTTGTGAAAATCCTTGTGAGGTAAGTTAGAATTTTGATTAATTCCGATTGTAAAAAATGAAATATTTAAATACATTAGACGACATCATACCACTTTAAACAATATTTAAATTAACAATCCATATTTTCAGAATATTAAATGTAAAAGTCCATTGGAAGAATGTAGAGCGGTAAAAGTGAAATGTATCACTGAACCGTGTCCACCTCTAGCTTTATGTGAGTTTTATACAGAAAATAAGTTAATTTATAATTAACAATTTACTAAAAGAAATTATTTTTAGGCTTACCGAGACTGGAAAATCCATGCCCGATAGGAAGACCTCTAGAAAAATATTCTGGAAATATAATTCCATGTGGACCATCGGGAAACACTTGTCCTTCATCTCATAGATGTCACATGAGCCCCTTGGGAGAATATTCCGTTTGCTGCCCTAAAACAAGTATGATTTATATAATATATATCTGAATATATAGTAAATAATCAAATTATGCAGCTGTTAAGTTCTTAGAAATGTTAGTGTACACCGATTCTGTACATAATAAACAGGGTCGTGTGTTCGCTAGGATTTTCCGGGTTTTCTTTGCCTAAATAGATGGGTATTTTTTGTAGGATCGGATTGTATGACAGCCAAATCGTACGGAAGTTGTAACTCTACGTTAGACAGATGGTATTTTGACAAAGACAAGAACACTTGCGAACGTTTTGTTTATGGCGGTTGCGGTGGTAACTTAAATAATTTTGAAAGCAAAGAACATTGCGAAGCTACTTGTCCAGGTAATGGTTTTAATCAATATTAATTATCTTTGAAGTGTATGTAATTTTGAGCTAATGAAATTGACTGTAATCTTTACCTGTATATAGTATAGAAGTGTATTTATTTTCATCAGAAAGTATAATGCCATTCGAGACCATTTTAAATTTTTAAAATCTTCTAATTAATAGAAATTTATGTTATATTTTTTAGTGTATTCAGTGTTGACTTCTTGCGAAGAATATAAAGAAAAATCACTGGCAAATAAAAATGAAAGTGACATTACTTTTATTCCAAAGTAAGTTGATTATTATTCATTCTTTCTGTTTTTAATGTTCAAGATCTAGGAATATTAAGTTTATATTATGATTTATAATCTTTACATCATAACTAGTAGGTTTATGTATTCTTATATGGTAACTAAGTAACAAGAACGTATTTGTACGTATCTTATGCATATAAAATCACAAGGCCCTAGCAAAAAAAAAACCATAAATTGCCTGTACTTAAAACCACCATTGTTCTTATTTCAGGCCTGTGAAAGCACCAGGCATTGAAATCTTCACCACTTTTCTCCCATGTTTATAGATTTTTGCATTGTTTTAATTATATTATATCTGCACGACAGATATAAATTAACAAATAGAATTATTTTTCTCTCAGGTGTAATAAAAAAACAGGAGAATGGGATCTCGTCCAGTGCATCGAATCATTAGGTTTATGTTGGTGCGTTAACAATAAAGGTATGAAAATCCCAGGAACGGCTGTACGTGGACTGCCACATTGCCACAAACGTAAGAATAAATAAGTTTTTAATAGCATTATATATTATAAAAAGTAATTATAATGTATATAAATGGTGAATTTTTTTTTAAATAGGTAAAGCAAGAAAATTAGATGATGTGCCACGTAAGTATACTTTGAATTTACTTCAAATTTTAATAAAATATTTAATAATAAATAGATTATATAAATTATTTTAGTGTGTCCAGAAGGAGAACCTGCACATATATGCCCTAAAAATTTATGTTACAATAAAATGTGTTTTGCACATCCTAAAGCAATCTGTAGAATAAATCCTTGCGGTGGTTGCCATATTGAGTTCTACAGCGAAACAAATGAAAAAGTTAACTGTAACGAAGGTATTTACAATTTTATATAAATATTATGGCGTATTTTTTATTTATAAATATTAATTTACATTTCTATTTATCAGGTCTTTCGGCATGTTATAGTGAAGTCCAAGAAGTAATTAATAGCCCAGCATGGAGCAGACAAGATACTCCCTTATCGGAAGTAGCTCATATGTTACCGAAAGACTTTAGAATAAATTCTAATCAGTTTACTACAATTATTAATAGAGAATTACAGGCTAAACAGTCAGTCGAAACTCCTTCTCGTCCACGTAAGATTCTATATATAATAGAGAGGTTGCGGCCGACGTTTTCAACACGAAAATGTGTACGTCGGACATTCAGCGCCGCCTTCCTGTGAGCCTAGAAGTTTGACAATGACGTTTAGAACGTCGAGCACGATTCTACTGACGTTTCAAACGTCATTGCCAAACTTCTGGGCTCACAGGAAAGCGGCGCTGAACGTCCGACGTACACGTTTTCGCGTTGAAAACTTCGGCCGCAACCTCTTTAATAACTTTATATATTAGTTAAAACATTAAACAGTATCTAGTTTAATTTAACTTATTTGCAGGTATCTCACACGTGACATTAGATATTGGTCTTTTAGGATCAAAACTTACGTTTCACACAGACGGCAAACAGAATAAACAACAATTTAGCAGGAAACAGGACTACAACGAACAGCATCTTCCACAAAGATCATCACTGAAGATTGGTAGTTGTCCTGATTCTGGAGAAATGAAATCTATGCTCGAAGGCTTGATCACAGGATGTAGTACGAGTTGTTCTGTCGACACAGATTGTCCCGGAACAGACAAGTGTTGTCTGTCTGCCTGTGGACTCACGTGCCATAAAGCTGTAATTCGCTCCGACGAAGGTAAGCTTATAAAACGGTTCAAATACCTAAAATTTGGACAAATATATACATGTTTTAGAGATTTGTATAGTTTTTTTTATTTATTTATCTTTCTTCTATTAAAGCTCAATCTATGTCAAAGTCATTGGTGATTAAACCACCGAAATGTTCTTCGGAGGGTGGATATTCTATTGTGCAGAGACAGGGAGAATTTTCATGGTGCGTTGACAAATTCGGAAAACCTCTCGAAAATACCCTTACTAGGGGAGAAATAAAATGCAATATGGATGGTGAGTTTAATTTTAAATTTATATTGATTAACTATATTATTGTTTGTTAAAAATAATATTTATAATTTTAGGAACAATTAAAGAAAGAAAAGAAATTGGTCCTGGTGAGTAACTTCATTTTTCTTTTATGAAATTAAGAATATTTTTTATTTCATAAATGGTAAAGTGGACAATCATATAAAGGTTTAAACATTTTATTTTCTTCTTCGCTCTTTATAATTCTGTTGGCTCTGTTGGTATGGGTGCTAGAAGAACTCTCTTCATACTTAACACAAGTTTAACCAGGACTATAATGACTTAGGATTGGGACTTAAAATATCTGCATCAAACCATGTGTAAAATTTTCGCGGATCCGATCCAGAATGGACTCGAAACCAGGTCCTTCAGGGCAGCAAGCATTTGATGAATGTCTTCTATTCCTTGCTGGATTCGAATGCTCCAGCTTTTTGGTGAACCTGACTTTGCTCCTAGCTAGCTTTTGACTCGAATCTGTATCCTCCGGAGTAGTGGGCCTCTGGTGGACTCCAAATGTCTTTATCGCCTCTATTATCTGCCTTATCTTTTCCTATAATTTCGCGTACAGTTAGTGTTAAGTATATGCCTAAGCATGGGGCAATCGGTGGTGAGGGGCGGGGTACAATATATTCTAGACAGATCGCCCAGGAAAAATTCCTGGAGTTGCTCCCGTGGATTCGATTCTAGATTCCCCAGAGCGATAGGCTGACGTCTTACCATCTCACCCATCCGGCCATTGTCACATTTATACTCTTTTCAATATATAAAATAATTAACATTAAAATTTAATATTATTTGTTTATTTTAAATTTAGTTTGCCTGTCATCCAACAAGGTTCCGAAAGTCTGTAAGGATGAATGTTTAAAAGCTTTCTGTCATCAGCATCCTTTGGCCATTTGTAAAGCTGATCCGTGTAACGACTGCGCCATTTCTTTTTACAATAGCAGAGGGGAAAAAGTAAACTGTTTAGGTACATTCCGCTTAAAAATTGTATATAAAATTAATTATTTATAAAACTGTATTCAAGTTGTTAATTCGTGTGAGAAATAATTCCGATAAAAGAATTAAAACTAAGAGTACTTTTATTATTTACAGATAAATGTATTCAACCTATTGAAAGAGGAACGTGTCATAAATCTTATAAACGATATTTTTTCAACCCTATCCGGAATCGATGTGAACATTTCACCTATACGGGCTGCGGTGGCAATGATAACAATTACAAAAGTAAAGAAGAATGTGAAAAAGCTTGCCAAAATCCAGGTAAGATATCTGTTATTAGGCCAAGATGTTATAAAATTTCTTGTTGCATATGAAAGAGTCGATTTCAGAAACGAGATATAAGCTTAAAAGTCATGATTTAGACCCGACACTATCCAGTTCTAGCCAAAGTATTAGTACTCATATGCCTGAGGGAGTAACTATCAGTGGTAGAGTGAATAAAAAGAACTAGTCATGGGTTCGCGCCTGATCCGCGTGGAGTTTTCTGGATTTTCTTCACGTTCCTAGCTCAATGTTATGGTGTCATGGTGTTGAAATTTATTTGTGTTACTGTTTCATATGCAGCAAAGAATTTCGTCCATACAATTGTGATCTATTATTACATTTTGAGATACTCCAGTGGCGATTTTTGGACTTTGTCTAAGAACTTTCCTGCTTTTAGGATATTAAACCATGGTCCATTACTCGAAATCCACAGCCCTGATCGTATTACCTTATGAATTATCATATAATATGAGTTTTAAAATAGTCTTTCAAGTTCATGCTTGTCTAAGGCCTCATAAAGAAGCATAAACTGTGGACTTGAGAAGTTTATAACGTTACTGGGGCATGCTATATTATAAGTTTATATTTATGTTTTCAAAAATTAAATTTTATCGTGTTTTAGTTCCCGTGTGTGATCAGCCAAAGGATTCCGGCAACTGTAAAAATTTCGTTCATCGTTGGTATTATAATAAATATACCCATAACTGTGAAAGTTTTCAATACGGTGGATGCGGTGGTAATAACAATAACTTTGAAACAAAGGAATTATGTGAAGCAAGATGTCCAGGTTTGAATATAATATTTTAAGATAAGTTTAAAACATTAACTTAATTTTAATATATTAAACTATACATTTCAGATTCCGTACTCTGTCCTTGGGGTCAAGTAACAGATCATATGAAAGTCTGTAGTCGATATAAATCTTGTGTAGAGACCTCTTGTCCAGCAAATCCGAAAGCGATGTGTACCGTAGATCCTTGCACATGCGAACCATATTTTGTAGATGCGCATGGAAAATTTGTAGCGTGCGATTTCTCATTAAGAGGTATATTTTAAATTAACCTTTTGATTTATTAATTAAATATGTGTAGTTTTAAATGGCATTTAAATTCTTATTCTATAGGACCTTTACAACTAGTAGCACCAGCCGTAACCAAAGAAACACGATGCCAGAATGCCAGAAGAAAACATCTTTCTGAAGCATCACCATACGTTGCTCAATGTGACAAAGATGGAAATTTCAAACCAAAACAATGCAGTTCTAATCTTCAAGGCCTCGCAAAATGTTGGTGCGTGGATGAATTTGGTCGACCGGTTCAAGATTCTTCAACCCTCCGAAGCGATGGCTCGTGTGGTAAGTTCCTCATGAGTGATGTATCATCTTTACAATTTCTTTATCTATATTCCTCATGAGTTTATATAATTCCTCATTTCTTTATTACAATGTTAAAGTATATAAAATTTAACTCAAAACACATTTTAATTGTATTTATGTTTAGAATTTGTTAAAGTTGATCATGTAGACGTGGAGCTTTCTTTCAAACATAATTCAACTTCGTATGCTGAAAATAAGAAAGTATTCATTAAAAAGTATGGCAATTTCTTTAAGTAATATTTTTAAATTTTAAATCAATAACATTTCTAATATAAAATACACAATAAAAATTTCAGCGCTGTAGAAAACTTTCTGCATAATATATCGGCTGATACCGGCGAAGTGGCTCTGAAGATCCTTCCGAACAATACAGTGATAGTATTTACATTGAAGGGAGATAATAAAGAACAAATTGCTTATCAACTTGAAAAAATGGTGAGTCTTCTTCGCTAATTTTAATCATTTCTTGAAGATTTTTGTATTGAAAGAAACTTCATTTAGGTGAAAAATGGTAACATGGCTCTACATTCGAAATCCGATGTTCTGCCAGTTGATGTTAGCGCTTCACACTTTCATCACGTGAGTGAATCTGCACCCAGTAAATTTTATGAATATGAAAATACAAAATTGAAAGATTTAGGAGAAAATGGATCAGCAGTAACAGCAATTGCCATAGTTTCTGTGGTTGGAGCTGTGTTATTGATTCTTATAATAGCAACTCTGGTAAGTAAACTCTTCAATATTTTGCCTAAATTTAGTTAAGTTTATATAATATTTTTCGTATATTTAGCTGTACAGAAAGCAAAGATGCAATTACGTCCCTCAAAATTATTCAGAAGACTGCTCATCCGTACGTTATTTTTCAAAATTTCTAAATATATAGTTTATAATAGTTTTAAAATGTGACATATAATTTTTCTTCTTTTTAAAAAATAGGAATCTAGGAAAAACTTCTTGCAATATTTATTAAATAAATTCAATCTCCAGAACAGGAATACAAACGTTGTAACGTCCATTTCATCTTCTCAAGCTAGACATATCGAGGATAGAAGTCAGACAGCCGTACAAACGAATTCGGTTTCCAAACAAGAACCATTGTAGAATATGTGAAAACACATTATAAAATTGATATGGACATCACTGAAAATTTTGGCTTATCTATTTACATTTTCTTCTTAATTTTATTATAAAGTGGGCATATACACGGTTGTCGCCTTCCCTCAGCCATCGCCAGTAACTGTCATATATAAACGAATCTCCTCCCCTCATAAAATATTGATATACTTGAATGGTCCCTTATAACGTTGTCTATCAATGGGGCATTTATATTATATTTTGATACATACATAATCAATTTTTGACTTTCAAGGATCCAGATTCTTCCATAGCAATAGACTCGGTTGTATCTTCAAAAGTTCCATGGTGATTTGACTCAGGCATCCTTCATCACTCAGACGTTCTTGCTATGGGTGTGGATGAACTCACGATGAACTCGAAATAGCCTTAATATGCCCACAAATCAGAAAAATAATTTAAAAATAGAGCATAAAGCAAGATTTTTAACATGTAATTTGTTGCATTTATTTTTCATTATACTTGTAAGCATGTTTTCCATGTCAAATTGAAACTGTTGATGTCCAAATCAATTTTTTGCTACTTTATAATGAACAAATTTTACTAATTGCTCAAATAAATAAAGACCTTGGGCAAGAACACCTTAGCTCATTTTTTCAAGTATATGGGAAAATCAAACCCTAAAGTTTGAGTTTACCCTGTATTTAGGACAGGTCACGGTCATATTATTCTTCAAACGGAATCTTATAAACAGGTCACAGTCTATGAGAAGTGGATCATGAACCTGGAATTGTATGTGTGTTCAACAATGTTCAACAAAGTAACTGAGTTAACATTCTTGCTCAAAGGTCTTCATGCGTAAAACCAAACTAAGAGAGCTTTTTAATAAATTTTTGTACATATTTTTCACTTCATTTTGTTGGATATTTTAATAATTTTATTTTAAATAAGTGTTTTTATAAAAAAAAAATAAAAAAAAACCCTTCAACTTTACTTATATTTACATTGATAAGAATAGATTTAATATTAAAAATATTTATTTTTATAGAAGAAAAAACATAGCGCTGTATATATTGTATAAAGTTGATAACGATGTAAATATTTGTCAAGTTGAATAATTAAAACAATTATTCAAATATTCCTTGATTAGACAATTTGTAGTTTAAGCTTCATTTTTTTTTTCAAGGATTTTATCAAATATTGTAGATATATTTTTGCATTTGAATTTGTAAGTTATATTTTTGAGTAAAATGAAAATAAATACATTAAAATTAAAACATTTTTTGTGTGTTTTTCGTATATTAATCACTTGTAAAAGTTATAACTGAATAATCGATACTTTATTGTATACGAGCTATGTTCAATCTTTATGAAATAAAACTCGTAGGACCAAGGGCAGATCTACGTTTCTCGCGGCCTAGGGCTTATTTTCTGGAGTTTTTCCTCCTACTTTCAACAGTTCATACTTTAATCCCAATCGTAAACAATGATCGAGTGGTTAAAACCACTGAACACAGATCGTGGATTCGTACCTCACCAACGAGTAGAGTTTTCCAGATTTTCTTCACTTGTCTGGCACCCAAATACGGGCCAGTTTCTCATAGAAAGTCTACGGGAAGGTACCTGTTTTCGGCAGTTCGCCCACGTGTTGCGTTGCCGTATTCCATCAAAACAAAACCTAATCGTGAACAATTTTCTCCTAAGAAATTATAAAAATTTAAAATTGTTACTTTTCACAACAGTACAACAATTATTTAACAATGTATTTTTAACGTAAAAGTTAAATTTCCAGCACTAAATATTTAATCTTCAAAACTTTACAGAAATTCATTGTAAGAAGGCCGAAAATGGAGAAGATAACAGTCATAAAATGATTAATTACACAATTATTGTATATTTAAGTAATAAATAGTACTGTGCAATAGAGGAAAAACATACAAAAAGAGTTTTTAATCATATAAAATTCGAGGAAAAATTAAATTTCAAAGAAAATAATTCGTTATAAAACTTTTATAAACGATATAAAATTGGGGCAGGTTCTCTTCATAATATTTTTTTAAGCTGTGTAGATAATAATCTTCGGTTTTATGATGGAGGATGGCAAAAATTCTTGCTTGAGAAATCATGCGATAATTCCAAGACTTTCTGCTCTCTGCACCATTAAGAGATTTCTAAGTTTCAAGAATGAGGCTGGATAATTTTACTTTCTTCCAATGCTTAAACATCTTAATCATTTGAAGGTTGATGATAGATATGAAAATTGTTATAGAAAACAATGTATACATATGTCAAAAAGGAGGATCGAGGTGATTTATGCTCTACACTAACAATTTTTCAGTGAAAATGGTCTAAATTCTGCGAATTTATAATTGATTATATAACAAAAACACGAAATATTTTGCATAAAATGGAAAAAACACAATAATTTTATATTCTGAAAATGTTCATTCGTTTACTTTGAGATTGTCTCCGATAATTAAGGAAATTTCGTGTAATTCGACTGATTAATTCCCTCTCTAGGGAAAAAAGGGAATAGATCGGGGAAAATGGGGAAAAGGGAAATGTAGGGAAATCGACAACAATTTGTAAAATGAAAAGTGAAAAATTTATTACGTTAAAAAATATATTAGAGTAAAAATTGATAATTTGGCATCACATTTTCCTGTTTTGTCGCATATAAATAAATAAAACATTACGAAAAATTAACTGATTTTAAATAATTTTTCCCTTTCTAGGGAAAAATTATTTAAAAAATATTATATAATAGAATAAAAATAACGACATAAAAAAGATTGGCTTAATTGAAATTAATACTATATTAATTAAGGGAAAAATCATAAAATTTTGACTGCTTAATCCCTCCGTTAAGGAAAAAATTAGGGAAATTATTAAAGAAATGATACCAAATCGTTTCAATGAATTACTTCCGGAATATATATAAATATGTCATTAAATATAATACTGGATCACGATGAAAATAAGTGCAATTTATAACAGACATTCGATAAATAATTGTCTAGTATTTTATTTATTTATTTATTTATTTTTCTTTAAATAGCGATGCGGTTTGTTGCATTTGTTTCCGTGTTCCTTCCTGGATCCATTTGTAATCATCACAAATACAGGGATTTCGGCATGACGTATGCATCATATATAGAAAGGATATAAAAAATTATTCATTATAGAACGTTTATTTGTATTATTTTATTTTAGTTTCTACTGTAAACGTATTTTAACAATTGAATATCTTCGTATTGAAACGTATTATAAAAAACAGCGATATTTTCGGTAAAAAATATCCCCAAGCATAACGAAATTTTCCGTATTTCAATAATATAATTTAATTACCGAGAAAAAGAAAAAAAATCCCTAAAGCAATCTTCCAAATTCCTAATATTCAAATTATTCGACAAGCATGCAAAAATCCTCAAAAAATTCCCTACAAATCTCCCTCAAAAAATCCTTACACACATTGCCAGATTTTTCAGGGATTTATGATCATCTCCTATTTTTCCCCCTTCAAGGAATTGCAATGGATACGCATTAAAATTCGTGGATAAATATATTTTATTTATTTATTTATTTATTACCATTGTAATTATTTCCTCTTAATTTATTATTCAGTAAAAATAAGTTTACATATCGATTCTTGAGAGCAATTTAAAACTTGTATTTCTCTAGGGAATTTGCGCTTCTTTTTAACATCATTTGTAAACACAAACATCAATTTATGTCTGAAAAACGTTAATTAATATATTTTTATTCATAATTTTTATATATAATAATTTTTTTATTTAACTCGAATGCAAACTAAGTTCATAATTTCTAACTTTNATGGACGATAATTCCTGTAGAAGGAATTTTTAATGCCTACTTTTTAACACAATCGTTTATTTATTATTAATTTCTAATTAAACGAAATAATTAATATTATTAAATTAACTGAAATAATTTATAAAATTTTTGTAATGGCTACTATTACCCGAAATGCATCGGTGCCATTTTACAAAAATGGAGTCGAGTGAAAAGACAGGAAGATGTTCAATGTGATGTTAAAAAAAAGTGCTTAAAGTTTAATTACTTACTTATCTTAATAATAAGAAAATATGCCATAAACTTAGTGTAATTCTTCGAATATAATTAATGATTGAGCCTTAAATGAAGGTGAAGGATATTGTACAGAAGTTGAAACAAGAATGAGGTAATAGACAGAAAATTCAAATTTGAATTTAAAAATAATCAATTTCAAATTTTAAAAATTTAAATTTACATAAAGCATTTATTGTTTATTTTATTTCTTTATTGTTTATTTATATTTTTAAAATTATTATTATTAATATTTCTGTTGTTGTTATAATAATAATAATAATATAAATTAAACTATAACATTGAATGGGAGTTAATTACAATTATGGTTTTTGATTATGTTTAAGGCATTAACTGGCAAAAAAATTAAATAAATTACTTAATATGAGATAAATTATACATTATTCCTCTTAATTTACTGATTAAATAAACATTTCTGTTGTTTTTCATGTTAAATTCTTAATGATTTGTAATGTTTTATGTGTTATTGTGGAGGAAAATTTAAAATAATTACGGTAATTGTATTGTCTGTTTGTATGGGAATTGTGACGGTTTTTACCACGGATCGGTTAGGAATTGATACGAATTAAACTGTAAAATTATATGGAAAATAACGGTATTTATGATTTTAAATATGTTTTAAGAAGGTAGATTATCAAATTCTGTTGTTGTTATTTGATTATCATCATCATTCATCTTTGCTACTATTTTACTAATTTTTATATTAAAATTCTTGGTGATTATGCAATGTTTTCAATGTTATAAAGTACTTTAAATACTTAGCTTTAATAGTGGTGTTGTTTATATGGGAAATGACTGATAGAAATTGTACAGAAATTAATGGCCATTATGGTTTTAATTATGTTAACGAACTTAAAATTCAAAAAGTCACATTATTTATGTTAACACATTTATTTAAATATCAAAATTATCATTTTTACTATAAAAATTTTTGATAATTTTTGACATTTTTCTGCTTTTTATCTGCGAAGTATTGTTATTTCTATGGAAATTATGGCCATTATAAACATTGCATTTAAAATTCTCTACATTTCTGGTTTAATTTGTATCAGTTTTATATTTATTGATTTAATTATTATTTTTAATTATCATTTAATTGAAATAATACAAATCGGACGATTAACAAACTATTTTCACTTATGGCCTGAAAAATCTGAATGAAACAAAGCTAAATCTCTGATTTTAATATTAATTTAAGAAGTCGAAATGAAAAACTTAATGGTAATTTGGTATATTTTTATATTAATTTGGTAATTAAATAACTTTATTTTAATATTAAATTTTTTATAATGTTAAGGTTTTGGTATTACGCTTCCCTTTTCAATAAAAAAAAGAAACATCTTTAATGCCTCCTTTCACGAAACAAGTCAGATAAAGTTTCTTTTTACATAATTGGTGTAATCTTATCGTTGTGGATATAGGAATTGCAGCACTATATATATTCACAGTGGCAAGACTGCAACTGGCAAGTTGCATACAGCTCTTCTAGGCCCTCGCTCGTATATATCGGACCCGTACCCCTAAGTTATAAGGGATCCAACATACGGGAACCAACCCTTGATATGTGACAAATAAATTTAAAATTGAAATAATTTATACATTGAGTTGTAGAGGAAATGATTGGAATTTAATTATATTTAAGAAATTAACAGAAAAAAGTGAAATAAAAGTGTGATAAATTATACATTTCCTCTCTTAATTTCCTAATTAACCATTTTTCTATTTAGGTATTAAAATTCTTGATAACTTTATCTGAAAGAAGGCTTTAAAGATCTTTTTTTTGTACATAATTTTGATAACTGTATGCTGCTTGATGTTGGAATTGTTGCAATGTTTACATCATATTCATTCGAAATTGATAAAAATTAAACTGCAAAAATGCAGAAAAACTAATTACGATTATAATTTAAATTAAGTTTTAAGAATTTAACAGCTAAAAGATAAAAAAAGTCTATAATAAATTGCACATTCCTTTCATATTTAATTGTTTTTACTATTTTTATATTAAATTATTGTTACTTAGGTAATGTGTTTGGTATTAAATATTCATTTTAGTCAATGAAAAGCCTTAAGATGTGTTTTATATTACAATTTTACTGCCAACGATTTAAAAATTGTAACAATGTTTACATTAAATTTAAAAATTGCTTGTTTTTATATCAGAAAAAAACCATTTAAGACTGTATATTGTCTCTATTTGTCTGATACGCTCGTGAGTTTTTAACCTTATCATCTTTATTTATATTATCATCGTAACTTAAGTTTGTTTGGGCTGAAAAGCCGACCGTTACAGATTCGACGTACATGATATAACATTTTTAAATTGGCTTGATTATTCTTTATTAAAGATTAAATACTTTCTGGCTGTGTCGAAAATTTCTGTTGTAGTTTTTTAAAATAAATTCTTGGTAAATTTAATAAGATTTAAACCATAAAAATCGTTTAGTCATAAGACGTGTATAGAAACGATTGATTTGGATTGTGAATTTGATGAATTTTTCTACTTGTAACTAATAAAATTTATCGAATTAGCGACTTAGAATATTGAATTTGATAATTAAAGTCTTAACTTGAAGTAGAAATGCTTTAGTACTTAATTTTTTTTATAATTAAGATTTTTTTTACACTATAATTATGCTCTTTTATCTCTACAATGACACACTTTTTTTTGTACTCTTGATGTTTATCATTTGTGTTCATGTGCAACTGATACTTTTTTAATTAAAAAAAATCTTAAAACCAAAAAAAAGAAATTATAAATCTGTTGTCGATTGTTGCGTGAACAAAAAACAACAAAAGATTCATAAATAGTATATGAATCATAACTTAATCACACTGTAAATTATCCAATTGGATCGTGGAAAAGTGAATTTTTTACAAAGGATCGTATTCAAATTATAACACTAAGATACTTGTTAACTTACTTAAATTAAGCAAAATTGAATTTTACAGTTTATAAGAGCATAATAATTGAAAATATTAGAGCCAAACCAAAGACAAAACTATCTTGATTGATTTTTTTCTATCCATATGTAGACTCTAGTAGCCCATTAGCAGATAATAAAGTGAAAAAATCTCATTTTCCAACAGTAACGAGATTTTCTGCACTTGCAGACAGCTTCAGTTTATTGCAAAGTATAATGCTTGGAAGCAGAAGGATACGAGTGGAAGTGGAGTCTTGCACTTCTCATAAAATTATTAAAGTCTGTACATTATGGACCTTTTTAAATCACATTTGAAAACATACTGATTAATTGGTTATATGGTTAGAATGATGTCTGAATGCTTTAAAAAAACTGGCTAAAATACAGGGTGTTTCCTCAAACCTCCCTAGTTTTGTGGATTAATTTTGGGATAAGAAACATGAGTATAGTACTATAGACAATGACAAGAGCGCATATCTAAGCTGACATGTTAGGAGTCATGCTGTCAACGGCATTCATGATTCTTGTATGTAGGGCTCGCATCTCTGGCACTTTTGTAGCATACACGTGATCCTTGATGTGCCCACAATGAAAAAAGTTCAAAGAGATGATGATGGGTGATTGGGCATACTGAGAAATGGGGTCCCGGTGATCTAGATCATGGAGCAATGGAGGTTCAGATCTCTACTATGTGGCAGGAGCAACCCTTTTAGTGTAATAGCACATGAAAATTTGAGCATTAATCAAGATTTTGCAAGACATTTTATTCAAATATCTGAACAAATGATTTTTACAGAACAGTTTAAAGCTAGAGATGTTTGAAGGAAATACTCTGTACTTGCGCAACTTGCTTCCAGTTTGTTGTTATGTATAACATTGGACACTGGAAAAATATATTAAGATGAAAATGTGCACATAAAAATTATTTATATATGTTGTAATTTGTTAATTTTATTTGAAGACACACAACTGATTTTAATATCTGATTTAATACATGTTCAAAAGGCATCCAGTTTGTCACAAAGTATAACATTTTGAAGTAGGTTTGTAAGCATTTCTCATTAAATGGTTAGTGAGTACATACAATATACCATTTATTGAAGGCTTATAACCAATTAATATCAGGTTTAATAGGCTGTCAAAGAATTCTGGTTTCCCATAGTATAACGTTGTAGAGTTGGAATGGATAGATATGAATGGAAATGGAAAAATGTGCAGCATTCTGTTAAAGAACAATTAAAATATATGATTTATTTCAAGGATGATATTAATTAATCAGTTATATGACATAAATGAAGCTCTGTAATATGCTTCACGGATTACGTTGGGTTATGAAGCGAGCCTTTCAATAAGACAGACACGAATATTACTAGTACTGAAAATCTTTCTCGAGTTTATAAATCATCTGAACATTGTATATAAGCTTCGTGTTATTTAATTTTTGATTTTAGAATTAATTACTATATTGATTTACAGGAATATAAATTCTAATTAATTGTCTTGGATTAAATGAGTTCGTCGAATCATAAAAGTAATTCCCATTTATATCGAATTAATAGCAAAGTAATTCGAATTAATGACTATGATAATCCGTATCTCACAATACAAAGAGGATTAGAAAGATAATAGTTAATTTTAATCAATTTAATTATATGTAATTTGAAGATTAGGGAGAAAAGCCCAGTTATCATTGAAAATTATAATGATAATTAATAAAATTGTCATCATAATAATTAATTTGTAGACAAGTTATTTTATGATCTTGCTCTAAAAATTTATTGAAAATTTTTTTTTAACGAAAGAATGACGACTCTTAACATTCTTCTGGAGCATTATCGTTAAGTTCTTCCCCCCTTTTTTGCTGCTTCTAGCTGGCTGTTCTCTTCATTTTTTTATTGTTTAGCCACGTCATATAGTGGAATTTAGTTTAGATACAAAGAAATAATTGGCTACGTACAAAGTAAATAACTATTGAGGACTTTTAATTGAGAACTTTTATATAAAATTTTATTTAAATCAGATTTTCTTCTAGGTTTATTTGCTTTAATATTTTGTCTGTACGAAAAACAGCATTTCTGTGCTGTCATGTGCCACTTATGTAGAATGACATATGATGTATAATATGCTAGATTGAAGAGGTTTACTTCTACTTCATCTGCTGCTGTTTCTT